ACTGGCACTATATCACGAGTTCGGACATCAATGAGTATCGATTTACTCAACAAAGACTTCTTCTTTTTTCTAGATAACTGAGAAAGAGTGCTCAGCAGAATTCTTCCTCTTGTCTGCATTCTTTCTTCCAAGGACCCTGGTCCAGAAACATCTGCTAGCAGTGGTTCGACTGTTTTGCTGTGTTCATCTCTCTTGATGCCACTCTCAGCAATGCTCTTTACAATATTCTTTTGTTTGGACTTTTGCCAGTGACACAGTAGCTCATTCGGGACCTCAAGGCAGCACACAACATCTTCAGAGCTTACTCTTCGGTGCTTATTACTGGAAGTACATCTTAGAGTTACTTGCAGATTCATCGTCTGGAATAATATAAATAGTTCCCGCGGGAGTTAATTAAAAATTATTAATAGTTATTAATGAATAATCACAATGTACCACCCTTCACAAAAGACACCTAAGTACATCTCTATTTACTCGTTTCTGTGATGTCCTAATTATAAGTACATTCCTTAGGTTGTATACTGTATCATACAATCTTAACAAAATGAGAAATAATTTTATAATTAAATTAAGAAGTATTAAAAAGAATAAGTATTAAACGGTCACTGTGAAGTCCAATGGCAGTTCTTTACGCTTGAAAAGTACCGGTGAAATTACATGGCAGAGACTAGATATCCCTAAAGAAGAAAATAATGTTTATAATGATTGTTATAGCAAGTTAACAATCTGTGTGAACGGCTTTGCTCACAATCTATGGACATTTACTTGCTTGACTCCATACAAGTAAAGGGACTCCCGTGGTTTACAATTACGGATTGTAGTAAGAGGATATACGGAAGGATGACCGCATATTTCTGGACATGCTAAATAAGTCCTTGATTGTCCTGAAGCTCGGCCTGTTTCACTATTACTCGCTATAAACAACTTAACCGTGATTTAGTCAGAAGATAAGAACAAGAAACATGTGGAAAATAAGAGGCTAGGCAATTGTGGTCTCTTCCTTTTACTGTTACTATGTAAATCAACTGATGTTATCAAGATCTTTATCATGTGTAATCGCCATTTTGAATATTTGCTTCCATTTTTGGGCAGACCACCCCCCTTTTATACTGCGCATGCTCGTTTAAGAAAGGGTTTAGTGTAAGACGTGCAGCTATGGAGTATGATGTACCTCGTTC